CTTTCCCTGCGCCCCAGGAGCGCGAAAAGCCACGAAATCGAGAACTGTAAAATAACCCTTTTGGGGCTGGGCTGGGCGAGGAGAGGCGGTCTGCCGATCGCCCGGGGCTGCTCTCGCTTCGTGTCAGACCCCGATATTTCAAGTTGTGCGTTGCGATAAGAAAAAAAAGTGCAGTAATACGTTAAACCAGGTAGTTTGTGAAGGATTAATCCTTTGCTTGCTTCAAATCTGAACAGGAATCTCCACACAAATGCCCCACATGTGGAAGAACCTTTAATCAAAGAAGTAATCTGAAAACTCACCTTCTTACCCATACAGACATCAAGCCCTACAACTGTGAGCAGTGCGGCAAAGTGTTCAGGCGAAACTGTGATCTACGGCGGCACAGTCTAACTCACACCCCGCGGCAGGACTTCTAGAGCAGCCAGGGACCCGCGCCCGCTCCGGCGGCTCCAACGTGCCCATTTTACTCAAGGACTGTGTTGTAGGAACTCACAGACACGCAGACGTACACGCACACACGGAGACACACACGCAGACTCGGGGCCAAGCTTTCCTACCGCTCGTCTGCGAAACTCGTTTAGAGAGTGCGGACTGCAGGATCGGGCCCCTCTCCAACCCACGCCCAGGCGTAAAGCTCATCTTGTAGATACTCGCGGCTCATTTTAGAGCTCTGTACAGAATGTGGTTCGTTTGTTTGTTTCGTATCGTCGTGTCAGATGCGCATCGATAACAAATCGGGAAGGCAAAGTATCTCTTAAAAGTGTATTTCAAAATAAATCCTCTTTTTTTTTCCAAATACCTCCTGCCTTGTTGTATTATTCTCTGAACATTTGGGCTTCTTTTTCCTGCTGTGTCAATGCAATGGTAAAGCATATTGAATAAATTTCCTAGCCGGGTAATTGTACTGTCACAACAATTTTGGTGATCGCTTTTGTTTGGCCTGTTTCACTGTCGCTGTTGTGTTATCTATTGTTAAGTAAAATGAAAGTGCCGTATTTGAGGGCTTATAGCTCTATTACTTAATAGTATGAATGTCTAAATATTAACTTCTGTACTTTTTTTTTATTTTCCCGAACGAAGTATTTTTTTTTTTTTAAGAAGAGAAAGAAAGAAATACTTGCAAATAAACAGATCTTAGGAAATAATGCATAGAGCCGTTCTTACGCCAAAGCGGCTTATTAGTAACTTATTTGCAATCAGCCCATATATTGTAAAAGTCATCCCTCTCGCGGAGATTGCAGTAGACAGCCTCCTGCCAGTAGACTTTGGAC